GAAAACACCCCAAACCTCAGCTCATTAAATGTACACATCCATTGAAAGACCCAGTTCAAACTGAGAAATGCTAAAACGTGAAAAGGGCCGGGTTTCAGAATCAAGGGAGTGTGCAGTGACGGCTACTTCCTGGGGACACTGACAGGGATTCATCCGTGCAGACACACACCGGGCTACCTTTGGCACAGCTGCCCATCCCTGCTGCACACCTGGGAAAGAGCAGGAGGCAGCGAGCCCCAGGGTGCCACCGGAGGCCCTGCAGGGGGACAGACGCACATTTACTTTGATAGGCACCTTCTGTTCAGGCAGGTGAGGAAAGCTCTCCATTTGCAGTACTAATATAATGTTTCCTTTTAAAAGACATTTAAGGGAAAAGTAAGCTGATCTCGTTTAAAAGACCACGTCAATCATCAATGGTGTGATGATCTCATCTACTTAAGGCTTCCTATGGTACTTTGTCCAGCGCTGGGCAAAGTCCTGACAGCAGGGTGCAGATGACTGGTCTGGGGACGCCTCGGGCTAGAGTATTTCCAAGGCTCTTTCCAATGCAGACTTCCTGGGTCTGTGGCTTCAGCAGACTAGAAGTGACCTTGGGATGACCAGTTTCCATGGCTGCAAACCAGTGTCTGCTTTTGTTACTGAAGAGGATGAAGCTGTCATTCCACAGTGAGCTGTGCGCACTGCAGACAAAACCCCAAAAGGGAGCAAAGGGAGCAAAGGGGTGAGCTCTCAGTGCAGAGCATGAGCTTTGGGGCCAGGCTGCCTGAGTCAGGATCCTGGCTCTGCTGGGTGGGTGCTCCTGCCGAGCCCCAGGTCTGTGACTTCTGAAATAGAGATCATAATAATAAACCCACATTCCTCACAGGGTCCTTTTGAGGAGTGGGTGAGGAAGCAGTGCCTAGAACAGAATTGAAGCAAACCTGTGATACAAAATAAGCCTCTTTCCTTTATAAATCACCCTGTCTCAGGCATTCTGTTATAGCAATAGAAAACAGAACAAGGACACAAGTAAAAGTGAAACTCCTGGATGTTATATATGAGAAGAATCCTAAGACTCAGAAGTGGAGGGAAGAAGGAAGACCAGCTAGGGATCTTGGGACTTGAGGGAGTAACACAATGACGAGGTCCCCAGAATTCCTTTTTGCCACAGAGGTCCTATTCTTGATGTTGAAGAAGTGGCCACTCAGAAATGCCAATGGGCACAGAACAAGAAGGCCTCAACCAAAGCCTACCCAGAGGGGCCACCTACCCAGACGGGAAACTTCTAGACGGCAGCTGCTCAACTCTTGCCAGACACAACAGGAAAAACCAGGGTCCCCCCTTTCCAACAGAAGTCAAGGAGGAGCCCAGAGGGCCATGCTCTCCAGGCTACAAGGAGGCACCTCCAAACCTCTACTGAGGTGGTGTCATGGAGGGTCGGGGGGAGCCTGGACTCCACTCCCACCTGGCAGTAAGGAGGCAACCCTCCCACTTCCTGTTGGGGTGTGTCAGAAGAGACCGCGTGGGGAGCAAGAATGCCCCCCCCCATCAATAAAAAGCTTCTTCCTTGGGTGTCACAGAGGCTGAGAGTGGGACCTGATTTCTACTGCACCTGGCAGCCACTGTTCCCTGCAGAGCAATCAAGGAGCCAGCAAGAGCAGAAGCTCCACAGAAGATCCAGCGACTCAGCAAACACCCTGGTTTTCACTGAAAATCACCCATAATATCCAGGACCAGGAAGGTGTCCAAGTGGACGAATGAAGATAACCCATCGGTGCCCACCTGGACCACAGGAGGAAAGAGGAGCTGCATACAGGTGGGAGGAAATATGTGCAGGCCGGAGAGCTGACAAAAGGCTAGGACCTTGGCTATGTAAAGAACTCTCCAAGTTCAACAGTGAAAAGCAGACCATTCCATCAGAACTCAGGCAGAACAGGTGGACAGGGAAGGAGTGTCCGCCTGGGGTGTGATGTGTAATACCACGTTTCACCAGCAGGGGTGTCATGGACCATCCCCACCCCAAAGTGCCATTCCTCCTGGAGGGACCCTGGTGCCCCACCTCGGGCTCCTCCAGTCTGAGACACAAGTATAGTTGCCAAGGAGCAGGCTCTGGTCCCCATCTGGCAAAGGCCATTCCTTCTTCCTGTGTCCCAGCTGTAGCTGTCAATGCTACTGGCGACCCCTCACCTCTTTCCACTGCATGACCCACCCTACTTCCTTATTTCAGACGCTGAATTGTTATCAAGAGATCCCTGGACCCTCTGGTCCTACACACATATGCCCCCTTGGGGCTCCCAGCCTCTGCACATCAGTAGAAACTCCGGTAGCTTCATGTCCTCCATGGGAACAATTCCAGTTATACCCTGAATGGCGCAGGGGCTGACCTGGACCTCTGACCATTGTTCTAGAATTATCTCTGCAGGAAAAAGAAATGCAGCCTGATTTTCAAGGGCTATAGGGCATCACCATTCATGAGCTGAGGGTAGTCTCTTTCCCAGGCTCCAGATTCTCATACGCATCTCAAATACTTCTTGAGAACTATTTCCTTTCTAATGAGTTTTCCTGGTCAAATAAGCCCTGGTTCCAGGCAAAATGAAGTATAGTCAGGTGGGTGCTGACAGTCAGGACGGTGGCTGGGTGGGGGTGAAGGGCTGCGGGACGCTAGGCGAGCTCTGCTTCTTGGTCTGCTTCACCTTGTGAAGACCGACTAGGCTCTGTAGTTACCGCCTGGGAACGTTTCTGTGGGCTGTCATACCTCAAAGTGAAATTTCCTTTAAAACTCCACAGGTTGGGTTTTCTAAATACACAGGATGCCTCAGAAAATTCTGGAATTCCTACTATAGCCTGAGGCAAAGTTAAAAACAGAAAAGGCAAACAAACAAACAAACAAGCAAAAAACCCCAAGAGAACACAGGAAGGGGAGAGACCAGCTACACTTGCACCAGAGTGTTTTCTTGGGTAAGTGCAGGCGAAGGCCCTTTGATCCACTAATTTATTTTTGAGCTGGAGGAGGGGGAGGAGGAGTTTGGGTTTTGCTCTTCAAGGACTCACCGAGGCTCATTATTCTAAGAGCTGAAGCACCTGCTCCCAGGGATTTGGGGACTCAGTGGGTGTGGACACCAAGCACAGATCCAGCGGCAGGGGGCCCAGAGACGCTGGGCTAAGGACGGATGCTCATGAGAACAACTAATGGACTTGCTAGGACCCGAGGCCAGGAGCCCCGAGACGCTCTGGAAGCAGACGGGCTGCTGCTTCCTCACTGAGAGACACCCCTGCTGCCTGCCCACGTGCCCTCCAGACTGTGGGCGCACAGCCCATCAGCCCGGCCCAGGAGGGATCCCCCCCCCTTCATCCACAGGTCAGTTTTCCTGGAGACTTCACAGGCTCCATTGTGGACCCCAGAGCTCCACGGAGCCAGTTTTGGGGCAAAGAGGTGAGAGGGCTGGCCCTGGAAGTTGACCGACAGAGCTCAGTTCCAGCTGGGTCCAACTGTGTAACCTTCTCCACGCCTCAGTTTCCCTGTCTGTTAAATGGGGATAAGAATAGCATTTCCTTCATTTCTTTGTGAGGGTTGAATGAGTTAATCCTCATAAAATGCCGAGAGTAGTGCTGGGCACATCGTCCAACAGAATATATGAATTTTAGCGTAAGGAATTCTAATTTGTGTCTTGAGACGGTTCATCATGAAAGGGTTCTGAGGTCAGAGGAGTTTGGGAAACCTCCATTCCCTTGGTGAAGCAGGATAGTCAAGGCTCCGGGGAGAGAAATTTTCATAGGGCATTGCCATTCCCAGGGGAGGAGGCGAAATCAGGCCTGTGCACAGGTTGGCCTTCAATCCTGGCTGGGCCTGGGCTGCACTGGAGTGTTCAGTGTTTTGGCCTTTATAGCTTTTGGGAAATCCTGGAGGTGCCGCCTCCCCTGGAGAGCCCATCTTTATGGGACAGACACTTGGGGGTGATTCAAAGGGCACTAGGGTATAGACTCATTTCACATTCATCTGAGCAGGTTTGTACAAAGATTGTCCCCATTTACAGATCGGGAAACTGAGGCAGAGAGAAAGATGTACCTTGAGTAGGGTCAGAAGGCTAGTAAAGAGCACAGCTGGGATTTGAACCCCTCATGTTTGGCTCCAGGGTCCATGACCCCAACCACTGTGCTATACTGGCCCTGTGCTCACCGATAAGCCCTGGGGGCATGGGATGGTGGATGCCACACTCCTCAGAGCCTTGTAGGCAGAGTGGCCCTCCCTGGTGCTTCCCATGATCACAGCTCCTTGCCTCAGGCCCACTGACCTTGAGGGCTGGTGGGGGACGGTGCATCCAGGCTGCTCATCCCTTACGTTTCCCATCATCACACAGGACAGGGCCACACAGCCCCTGCCATGGACTGCAGGGTCTACCTGGCATTGCCAAACCCAGGACCCAAGACAGATTTCTAAGTCAGGCCCAAGAGCCTGACTGATGTGCGGGAGGGGGCACAGCATTTCGTGGCTGCTGGGAGTGGGGGTGTCCAGCCAGGCTCCTCTGGCCCTGTCCACCTGAAGGCCTTCCCCAGGGCCTGACTTCTGGAAACCGCAGGTTCTGCACTCTGTTTTCCAGGGAGCTCGCCCACTGCCCTCTTCCTGCCTGATTCCTGTTGTCCATGCAGGCCTGGTGCCGGGTCAGCACCTAGGGAAGTCACCCTCCTCCCCTTCTGTCCACACTCACACCTCTCTGTGCAAACTGAACCACCTTCCAAACTTCCCCATATGCTGCTGTGGATGTCGTCCCCAGCTTTAGAGCAAAGTCCTTGAGTTAGAAGACATCACACTGGCCCAGGCCCAGGTGCCTTGGGACGTAACAGATGTTCGGCAAAACAGCTGCTTCCCAAACAATCACACACGTAGCACAGCCAGCTGGAGGCACCTGTGACACCAGTGGCCTTGGCCGCAGCTGTCCTGCCAAAGGGCAGTGTCAGGCTAAGGGGCCGCCGAGACCTGGGATCTGAGATTGGCCTGGCTCTCTGCGGCAGCACCTCCGTACCTTGCTGGCTTTCAGGATCTCAAACATCAGGGGTAGGCCTTGGGTCACCAGCTCCTCCGTGTACTCTTCCTCCTGAATGGTCTTGAACTCCTTCAGCAAGCACTGGATGAGAGGCCTGCGGTGCTGCTGGAAGGCGATCCGCAGAGACTCCAGCCACGTGTGCAGAGTCCACGGGACGCCTGGAGGGGGAAGAGGAGCGGGAGGCGGGGAGGGGAAGGGGAGGAAGAAGACAACCAGAGGAGGAGGTCCGTTTTTATCTGGAAGTCGGCCTTTCCCCAGGACATCGGCAATCGGGAGACCAAGGTGCTGACAACCCACGAACAGAGCCAGGACTTGCCAAAATTGAAACCGAAGGCCTTATCTCCACAGCTCGGATCTCTGCACTACGAATGTGCACCACAGGGCTGCACTGCACAATGCACTGGAATTGTCACACACACACACACACACACACACACGGAGTGCCCAGTGCACTTGAGGGCTGAGTTCAGAGGCTCCATCCTGGCTACTTACTGGGAGAGAGGGGCAGGGAGGGGACAGTCTGGTGCTGGATTAGGTGACACTGCCATGCCCAGATGAGATGAGACCTGCCGAAAACCCCCCAGTGGCTTCACTGTCTGCCACACTGGACAGGGTGGGGAGTCAGTCACATCTGGGCAGGAACAGCTGGAGGACACCGCTGCAGGTCCCCTGGGCCAGACGTTTCCGTCTGCAGCAGGAGGCCTTCCGCCTCTAATGGCAGCCTCCCTAGCAGCTGACTGTTTCACTTGCTCCTTCCCCTCGTGGAGAGGCAGAGACGAGGGAAGGGGAACACGTCTCACCCTGTTCCCAACAGGACAACCATCGGATCCTCTGAGCTTTGTAATCGAGCAAAATAGGTCCTCGAGCAAAGACAGAAATGTCCCACATGCCGAATGGCCATCCTCCTGAGAGAGGCCAGGACGGCCACCCAGAGACCTGCCTTCAGCCCTCAGCTGTGAGAAAGGCCACATCTTGCACTTAGGGACCCACTGTCAGATCCCTCCAGGGCTCACGGGCCTGATGCTAAGCTGGCTCCACTTCCCCCTGCACCAGAAGATGGCTCGGGTGGCTCACTCTAGGAAGAGCTGCCCCGGCTTCCCTGAGAGTGGCCTCAGCCCCTGAAGCTTCGTGGTGGAAGAAGCCCGACAGGAAAGGGTGCCCTGGCCCTGCCGGCCGCTTCGTGGCCCTAAGGAGCCTATCCTCAGCCCCTGGGAACCACCTGGGGTGATTGTTAAATATAGAGATTTCCGGCCTTGATCCAAACAGACCCTCAACAGCCGAGCCTCTGGGTGCCGGGCCTGGCGATCTGCATTCAGACAAGCTCCCCAGGTGATCTGAGCTCCTGACCCCGAGTCCAGAGCTGGGAGTCAGGGCAGGATGACCTGAGGACGGGTCTTCAGAGAGGCAAGGTGTTGCTGTCTATGGGGACCGTGTAGGCATCTCGACTGCAAGTGTTCAACCAGCGAAGGGGACGTTCCTGTGTCCCCTGTGTGTATGTGTGTGTGTGTGTGTGTGTGTGTGTGTGTGTGTGCGTGTGTGAGAGACAGAGAGAGACAGAACTCGAGGGAGAGAGACCTAGAGCGGGGCCGCAGCGCCGTGCCCAGCCGTGGGAAGTGCCCGACTGACCTATGCTCCTGATATCAATTGTGACATCCACGTAGCCATGCTCAGCGCTGTGATACATGGCCTCCCTCAGGGCCCTCAGTTTGGCCTTGCTGTTGCGGCTGGCACACAGGGGGGGCGGGGCTGACTCTGCCAGGTCAGTGCCCTCGGCCAGAATCTCCTCCAGGGACAGGATATCGCTCTTCTCCTTCTCTGGCTGAGCGAGCAGTTTGCGGAACACATTCCTGTCAATCATAAACCCAGAGAGGAAGACACTCAGAGAGGGAAATGGCGTGGCTGGGGCGGAGGCGCGGTGGGGAGTGGAAGGCCGCTCACTCTGGACCAGGGAACGATGTTTTGGGGACGGAGGAGGGGATGAGACATGACCATCCTTGTTTCCTGGGAGGACAGCTTGGAGTTAAGAAACATCTAGAAGGCTCTAGAACTCCGTCCCCCTAATGGCTGGCCGGCCTTCCCTCCAGTGACTCTGCTTCACGTGGGGTCGTGTACAATAAAATCAGATGGAGATCCTGAAGGGAACCGAGAACAGAAGGAGGCAAAGAAGAGGGGTTCTATTCTTTTTATATGGATTCTCGTCACTTCGTGACAGTTGACGTGATGTCCTCTGACCCAAACTGGCCAAGAGTGAGGTGTCTCTGTGGATGCAGCTGGTTGAGACTGAATACAGCAAGCCAGTCTGTGTGGATGTGACTCCGAGCCAGTTTTTAGCAGAAACCCGGCAGGAAAGGTCACTCTGGCCAGGCCTGGGGCCTAGACCACCTCCCCGCTGTGTCTGGGCTCCACATCCAAAGACAAAATGGGTCTGGGGTAGGCCTGGGAATCTGAATTTTTAACAAGCACCGCTCGGGACCTGGAGGCCTTGGCCCGTCCTAGCCTACCTGTGTCCATGAGCTGCGGCCTGGCTGAAAGAGTTCATATCCCCCTGGGGGGTTGTAGAAATTCCATTCCTGTACATGGTTCCTATCAGGGGATCCGCACCACGATCCAACAGCAAACTAACCAGCTCAAAATTTCCTGCAAGCCCAGAGAAGGGGGTTTCATAAGAGAATAAAGCAAAAAAGAAACAGAGTCACAGGCACACGGAGGGCCAGGGAGGCGCAGACCCCTGGCCCGGGTGAGAAGCGCGACGTACCTACTGCGGCTGCCAGCTGGAGTGGCGTCTCTGAGTAGTTCTCCTCACCGTGCTCCACCGAGCCTTCCACTTTGGCCCCAGCATCCAGGAGGAGCTGTGGAGGAAGAGCAGGAAGAGCGGCCATGGAGATGTTTCAAGGACGTGCGCCCTGGGGGGTCGTCTGAAGACTGGTGGAGACCAGTAAAGGTGCCAGGCTCCTTCCCTCCCTCTGGGTCAGTGACTGTGCACAGAGAGGGCCGGAGGACTGTACTTCAGAGGACCAGCAGGGGGTCTCTCGTGTCTCCTAGAACCTGAGGCTACCCAGTGTGCTCCATGCACAGTGGCGTCACGCTCGCCCTGGGGGCTCGTTAGAAAGACTGCCTGCTGGCCCACCCCAGGCCCCCTGAACCGGAGTCTGCACTTTAACAACATCTCCAGGGAATCGGGGGGTACATTAAAGCTTCTGGAAGCACTAAGTCAGGAGTCCTTGGCACCAGATGCTGGGGGGACTCCCTCATTAGGAGCCTCGGAGGACACTGGAGTGGCCTCTTATAGCCACAGACTCTCAGGAGTCCTGACTAAGGTGGGGGACATTCTTGGTCAAGCAGGAGGAGAGTCCCTCCAAGAACCCCCGCGGATGGGCTTGAGGACAGGTTGGGAAATGCTAGGTTTTATAAGGTGGCAGAGTGAGCTTCCAGAAGGCACGCCTCTCCATGACTCCATTCTGGGCATTCCCAAAGACATCTTACGGGAGGCAGACTCTGTCCATGCGGGATAGTGTTCACAGTGAAGGTGCTGATATCATCACTGATGTAACGTGGGGACGGTATGCGCCATTTTCACTACCTGGCTAGTGCTGCCTGCACCTCCAGCCGCCTCAACAGGTGGCCTGAACTCTGTGAGGATCTGCTGGACTCCCTACGTTTCCACTCCTGGTTTAAAGGCTCGGGCTGCCTGTTAAAGGATGGCTTCCATAGACCACCAACTGACCCCTTCTTTCTTGGGTTCCTCTACTAGGAGGGGAATGGGCAGAAGCCAGCTCTCAGGTGACACGTCACACACCCAGCCTCCTGAAACCTCACTCTGGATCTGTCCTAAGGATGCTCATGACCCAGGAAACAACAAAGGGATCCTGTGACGCTTCGGCTTTGCTGAGCTGTCCCTGCAACACTATCCTCTGCTCTGCACAGAATTCAGAGCCAGGGGCCACAACACTAAAGGAGGCAAGTTCCTGCTGTCCTCAAAGCTCAGTATTTACTCTGGGGCCAGGTGTCATTGACCAGGAAGTTGATCTTTCTTTTCCAATAAAGTAAAGACCCAGTTGAAAACCCAGAACGTGCTGGGTGTTCTATTCAGTGAACACCAACTCCTCAACAGCTATGAAAAGCACAGGTGATGATATTTATATGCATGTCCCCATACTTGAGGCTGTTTCAGAACACATGTGCTAAGACCCTACTCCAGACCTCCTCCTCCTGATTCTCAAGAAGGGGACCCAAGCAAGCGCTCTTTGGAAACATTCCTTTGGTGATCTGGATGCTCCTTCCCACTGGTTGGAAACCACTAGATTCTACGAAACACCAGAGTCACACCTCTGATCTCATGTTCACGTTATGACAAACAAAATGAGCAAATCCACAAAACAACAGTTGAGACCCCACCCCAGAGCGGCCAGGAAGAACTCTGCAGGCTTGCCGCTTGTGCGTGAGGTGCTGTGTGGTTACGTGGTCACTTCATATTGGTTAAAGCTGGGCCAAACAGATCAAGACAGATGATAATATTTTTTCATGTGATCTAAATATACGCTGCAGGTAATTGCCATTAACCAATATGAATCTCTCATGGAATATGCATGCTGGGAGAGGTTTAGAGTTGCGTCACAGAGGAGAAAGGTCAGATGTGGAATCCATTAATACCTGAACTACAGGAATATGTCCATGCAACACAGCAAAAGTCAGAGCCGTCCAATGGCGGGTCTCAGGGTGGACGGATGGATATTTATGTGGAGTACTGACAACCTATAAACAAATCGAAGTTATTTTCAAAATGTGATCTTCACAATACTTAGGCTAGCAAGTCTGACCTGTCTGTAACCTAAATGTAGGTTAGAGATGGATAAAGAAGACATCCCGAAGGGTGCTCTGGGAGGTATTGGCAGATGCCCCCAACACCTACTACCAAGTGGGCATTGAACCTGCTTGTGTTTGTAGGAACAGAGGCTGGAGCAACCCCCCGAAGGCAGGGAACTGTTTTGGAGATTTTTACCCATGGGGCAGGGAGAAAATTTCTCCGTGGCTTTATATCCCCCGTGCCCAAAAGGACTCCTTCCCTCCTCCTCTGATCCCTGGGGAAGCGTAATGACGCTCCTCTATGGAATGACCAAGTTCCCTCAGTGTCCCTTTCCTCTTTCTGCTTGAGGGGGATGTTCTGAGGGCTGCAGGATGTCAGACAGCAAAGAAGCACCACTATGTTCCATCCGCACTTTCAAGAGGGATTCTCGGGGGCAGCAACCCCCTCCCCCTCCCCCGCAGTCCACTCGAAGCTTTCACTCCAGGGAAGACGGTCACCCCCTGAAGGAGGGGGCTTCACGGACTGCTCGCGCTCACCCCACGCTTTCCCCATTCTACCCTCCTGCCGGCTTCCAGTTGACAGGGACCCTGGAGTTACTGGAAGCGGGGGCACGCAGCTTTCCCTGGACACAATGCGAGTGGGCCATCTGAGACAGATCTTTGGGGATGGGGGTCTCAATGTAGCCCAGGCCAAGACACAGCAGGGAATCTGTGGGCGGGGTCCGGCACAATTCGCAATCACATGTGCTTCTCATCCCCAGCGCTTCTGGGGCCACGCAACCTCGATGCCTGCATTTCAGGTCACTGTGCTGGATGAAGACGCTGAGCGGCTCACGGGATGGGCTGGAGGAGCGGAGCCCAGAACCCCACCAGGACCCAAAGCCCCCACAGTGTCTGCACGGTGCTTAGGACTCACCACGGGGATGGCAAATCTCCACATGAGAAACTTGATCCAAAACCATACTCGTTAATTTAAAAAATATATAGTAATGAGACTGAAGGGCATCTAAATTTGGACCAAACAGGTTTTCGAGAATTACGGCAAGATGATAGCAGCATACCCATCTCTCTGGTGTCTGAGACTGCCACTATCTGGCTTCCAGGGGGTAGTGGTCTTCAGAAAGCACAGGAAAAGGGGGAAGAATGGGGTTTCCCCTACTTTGAGGTTGGGGTGGGATGGAGCAATACATCAATGGGGGTCGCCAATCTGTGCTAGGTACGGTCACATATATTTCTTCTGACAACCATTTGCAATGCTGATTATTCTCCCACTCTGCAGATGGAGACAGACAGCTCCAAAGCAGGTCAGTATGGAGGTGGTGATTTCAGGCTTGAACTCAAGGCTGTCAAATTCTAACCCTTGTGGGAGTCGGGCACCACACTTGCTGCTCTACCCCACTGCCTCAAGAAGCCTTGGGATGAGCTTTAAGACCTGTCAATTCAGCGGAGGTGAGCCAATCAGGGTTTGGTGGGGAGGGCAGAGGGTGGGAGCAGGGAAGCCTCCGCCTGGGAGAATGGCCAGAGCATCCTCTGTGCCCTGTTAGGGTGGAGGGAACCGGCTGACGGCTCCCACAGTTTCTGCCCCGTCCCTGAAGGAATGGGTTGGCAGTTTGGATCAGGAGCATGGGACTGCTGAGCCATCCGTGGCCATTGCTCCTTGCAGCCTCGATGGTTTTTCAGTGGAACATACATGCAGGACGCCCCTCGGGGCATGGCTGGGCTGCAGCCTCAGGAGGCACATTATCTGTCAGGTGGTTTCAGTGGGACCACAATCACTCAGGGCCGAGGAGGGATCTGTTGGTGGAAATGAGCACACAGCCGTGGCTCCTGAAGGCAAAGCCCCCTCTCATGGTTTTCTGGGGGCCCTGCAGTCCTCTGCACCCTCACCTCCACATTCAGGTCAGCTCCGGCATCCAGCAGCATCTGAACCATCGCCTCGTCCCCACGGACGCAGGCGTACATCAGGGGGGTCATGCCCTGCGGTGAGTTAAAACCAGAGAATGGAGAGGTTTACAAGGCGGCTGTGGTCAGGCAACAGAAACAAATGGAACGTCTTACGTGAGCGCAGGGGAGCTGCTTGGGCTCAAAATCCAGCAGGTCTAAAGCACACGTGCAGCCCCGTGACTCGGACCACAGCCCTGTGCACTCTGGAAACCACGGCGGAAGGGAAAGGGAGCTCACGTTGCCCTTTGGGTATTTGTCTTTGCTGAGTTTGGAGGATTTTGGTTTGTCTGTCTGACTCAGGGTGCCACGGACTTCAGAGCATTTCCTAAAACAAGTGGCTGATTTTGACTTAGGACTGTTAGGACTTTCTGGATTCTGTGACATCAGCCCTCAGCTATTTAACCGATGAATGCTGCTCCTCCATCCTTTCTCTCTCATGATATAACAAGCTTCCTCCTGGCTCTGTATAAACTGCTGGTCAATGTCAAGGGTAACCGGATGCCCCTGAGCATGTGGTGTCCCCCTTCACTGAAAGTGGATTGACATTGTCATTGACAAGCAAAAAGCAAGTCACGGAGAGATGGCTTCAGGAAAACCACAGCTGCTCCTGACTCCTGCTCATCACCTGCCAAGTACCACAGCCCACACAAGGGAGGGGTGGGTTTTCCAACCAACGGTGTTGGGAAGGCAGCTATTTGGAAAACCATCCAAGTTAGAACCTTATCTCCCCCCAGACACCATGCGCATTTCTAGTTTGGTTAGAGATAGCTAGAGAAAAATTAAAACCCTAAAAGATATCTAGCTGGTCTCAGGATCCATTTCTAAACATAAAAGTCATGGAAGAAATCACAGAGGAGAATCATCCTAGCAACGAGGCAATAAAATCAAAAACATTATAGACAAAATTCACATAAAACGTACATGGAAACATTTTTGTCACATTACAGCAAAGGGCTGTGTCTAATATATAAAGAGTTATTCTAAGTAGATTGGAAAAAAAAAACCAGAAAAGCTAGCTGGAGGGTGGGGAAAAGGAAACAACTTCTGGAAATAACTGAAGACGGAGACCCTAAGAAAGGCTGGTGTGTGTGTTCGAGCGACTGCTTCTACTTTTAAGAATTTCCGTAATGAAATAATCAGGGAGTTGCACAAAGGCTTCTGCAAGTACATTTAGCTCAGCATCATTAATAAAAGGAATTAGAAGCAACCTAAATATCCATCATCGAGGTACAGCAAATGAAAAAATGATTAAAAAAATTCGATAATATTATCTTTAATGTAAAATGTCAAAAAAAGTGAGATAGAGTATAGTTTTTAAATAATGGAAGTGTGTGTTTGTTGTGTGTCAGGGAGACTTAGTATTTCTCGAGAAAACTGTCAGCTGTAATTAAATAAATCATCCCTGCCCTCCCCTCCTGGAACTCACTGTGTGAACTGCCCATGCAAAGCAACCCCATTTGTCCCTAGTCACTTCCCGTCGGAATTCACTATTGCTTGTTTTCTCTGTCCCTGGCATTTCCCCTCCCCGGGCATCTCCTTGAGTGGGAGACACCAGCCACTCTCCCTGTACCAGTTTCAGGATTTTGGTGGTGGAGAGGGGATGCTGCCTATTTCTGAGCTGCCTCCTAGGGTCTAAAGACTGACTGTGTCTCTTCAGTACCGTCTAAAACTTTGGTGACACCAGCCTGGATGTGTCTTGTGCAGTAGCACAAGGCAGAACCAAAAAAACCCTAAAAAAAACCCCACACAAAAACCTTAAAAAAAAAAAAAAAAGGCAACCTAAGCGGCCAGCAGGGGGCGCCGCAGCCCAGCGCCGGCTGTTTCCATCTGGCTGCGGGGTGGGTGCTGGAGGCGGTGGTGTTGGCTAGACCCCTGGAGCCGGTACCTGTTCACTCATGGTGTTGATCCCATCAGGACCCAGCAGAGACACCGCCTGTTTCACAAGGTCCGTCCGCCCGCAGTTCAGCATCCGAAAACCCAGGTCCTGCTTGAACTTGGCTTCGATGGCCACCGCATCCAGCTTCCGAGAAGCGCAGAAGCAGTCGTCTGCCCTGAAGGAGGAAGAGAAGGTCATGGGGGTGTAGCAGCTTCCCCGGGGCCTGGTCCTTGCCGAGCAAACTCCTTGGGGAGCACGAGGCCCTTGCATTGCTTTTCATGTAACGAGCCAGTTCCTAGGCTGCCCTGAAAGACTTCCTCCTGATCCTGATCTTTGTCCTTTATGACTGCTGCCATTCTGTGTGTGTGTGTGTGTGTGTGTGTGTGTGTGTGTGTGTGTGTACTGGGGATTGAACTTAGGGGCACTTAACCACTGAGCCACATCCCAGCCCTATTTTGTATTTTATTTGGAGACAGGGTCTCAATGAGTTGCTTAGGGCCTTGCTTTTGCTAAGGCTGGCTTTGAACTCATGATCCTCCTGCCTCAGCTTCCAGAGCTGCTGGGATGACAGGCACTCTCCACCGCCTCTGGGCTCCTGCACTACCCTGGCCTAAGAATCATATGGAGAATATTTACTGAATGTCTACATGGGTAGGCGCTCTGCTAAACTGTTGGAGTGAAAAAACTCAATGAATGCCCATAAAACCAGAGTTGAGTACTGTCATTACCTCCTTTAAACCTGGGGCAACAGAAGCATGTAAGGGGCCTTCCCAAGGCCATGTGGTCTGCAGGAGGCAGAGCTGGGATCTGGACCAGGGTAGTCCATGTGAAGAGCGGGCCTGTGTATCTACTATGTGACACTGTCCCCAGTCAGCATGTGCTGTTTGCCCATTCTCCTGTCTGCTCCTCATACTAGGCTGGGGGTTCTGAGATAGGGACCTTGTCTGCATCTCTCTCCATCCCAGTGCCACTGGGCACACGGCATGTGGGGTGCTCAGGAATGCGAGTTGAATGAACACAGAATGGGTGTTCCCTACCTTCCAAGAACAAGACCGAGAACCTGTGAAACGACTCAAGAGCATATTTGACAAGGTGCATTGAAACTGTCAGCTGGTGGAATGGCAGGAGAACGAGGCTAAGGAGGGGGTGGACAGGGTCCTCAAACAGGTGACAAATTCTGGTTGTAAAGGATGTCACTTCCTTCTCCTGGAGAATGAATCCACTAATTAATTATTAAACCACTATGCATTTATTAAGCTTGTATCAAATTCTGCTCTAAGTGCTGAGAACGCAAAGGTAAACAGGTCACTGCCCCTCCTCTAGGAGTCCACCCCCTGGAAGGAGAAGGGATGCTGGCACAGGCTGTTGTCATTCAATGTGGCAAACGCAAGAGTTGAGGGCTCAGAGACAGGCACTGCCCCAGGGCAAGTGCACTGTGGGGAGATGAGGAACTGGACCAGAGTCCAGGGGATCCAGCCACGCTTCCTGGGGGAGATGACCCTGAGCTGTGCCTTAAGGGGACTGGGGAAGAGAGGGGGAAAGTCTGGAGGTGGGACGTGGCAGGCAGTGTGAGGGTCACCGTGGAGATTTAGTGCTTCTGGGCAGAGAGTGCCAGAAGCCGAGGGTGGCAGGGGCAAGATGCCAGGGGACCTCTGCTTAGTCCATAAGGCTCAGGCTTTATCAAAAGCCAGTGAGGGTGGCCGAGCAGGCAGAGGGACATGGCTGGCCGGCAGTCCTCAGAGGCAGGAAGGAGGGGAGAGAAGAGCCAACGGAAGAGGCAGGAGATGGGTCAGTGCTGAGTGAGCTGCTGAGCAGAGCCCCGTCCACCAGGCAGAGAGTGCAGGGGCGAGGGAGGGCAGGGGTGCTGGGCTGGCACTGAGCACGTGGTTCTGCCTTCCACCCTGCAGGGTGCCTGCTGCTCAGACTCAGGCTGGCCCAGAGGCCAGCTGACGCCCACTGTGTCAGCAGGAGCTGGAGCCGACCCTGACCTCCTCAAATCCCCTCTGCTTGCTGTCAGAGGCGGGGAGCTGAGCAAAGGGGCCGGACGTGCATGCTCCAGGCTGGTTGTACCTACCTGTACCTGTGCCTGCCTGAACCTACCCTGCCTGTGGTGGCAGGAAGCCAGTGGGCCACCACCTTCTTTTTCATCCCTGCAGACATGGGAGGGGCTGATCCTCCAGAGCATTGATGGCACGGAGGGTCCCACTCACCACCAGTAAGGCCAGGATCTGGGGCTGAGCCACCCAGAGAGCCTGGGAAGTGGACGGAGGCGACTGTCCTTGGCCTGCTGCAGGTCCTGGCTACCCGTCTACCATTCATCCCTGCTCGGCTGTGGAGCCTTGGGCAGAAGGAGGTCCCAGAAAAGGGACCCTGCTGGAGGAGATGCCAGACCCGAGGAGCATGCTTTTGGCCACCAGGGGGAGCCGATGTGGCGCAGACAGACACAGGGCCCTGAGACCCGAGGCCTGCTGTTGAGATGGGGTCTAACCTGCATCCACACCTCAGGAAATGGGCGTCCAGCCAGGCCTCCCGGGGTCTATTTGTATGAGAGCCCTGGGAGGGACAATGAAAAGTACTGAGAGCTTACGACTGGCCAGGACCTGGACTCCAGGCTCAAGGCCTTTCCGTGGCCGATAGGAGAGTCAACCACCCCCACATTGCTGGCAGGGTCTCCAGGAGGCCACCTGGGTCAAGGTGGGAAGGACTATAGGACACAGGCCTGGCTTCAGACATGGCATCAGCAACCAAGACGTAAGCTTCTAGGGCACAGACTGGGCTGTGCCTCGGGGCTTCTTGGCTCACTCACGGGGGTTTTGAACTTGGATCTCCTGCAGCTAGGGTTACCAGATCAAGCAAATAAAAAAAAAATACCAAAGAAATATTGCACAGGACACACTTATACTAAAACGTGATCCACTGTGTCTGAAATTAACTGGCGGTTCCATCTTTTATCTGGGAAAAGGCAGAACTATCTCCCAGGGAGAATACACAGAGAAACCATGGATCCCTCCAAAGTGTCTGCCTGTCTCCAGAGGAGAGGGATCCTTGGTGGGGCAGAAGCCTTAATTCAAGGGACCAACGGTCCTTAATGATGGCTAAAGAGTAACAGTCGCAGAGGACTCCGGGAAAGGTAAGGTGGGGCCTGTGTGTGTTGTATTGAAGTATCTGTACCCCACACTGGTGTGTGTGTGTGTGCCCAAATCCTGGAGAGCTATCAGACTTGACACACTGCAGGGACAACCTCCCATCCCCTCCACCAATTTTTATTGTATTTATTTAATTTTCTGTCTCATCTTTATTTATTTTTCCATATTGTTATTGGTGCACTATGGGTCATATGTAACAGTGTGATCTGTTGTTCCATATTTGCACACACACACACACACACACACACACACACACACACACACACACACAATATGACCATATCACTTAGCCAATATCATTCTCCAGTACTTCCCCTTTTCTCTCCGGGGGACAACCTTTCTCCCAACAGACTGCTACCCCATCTGGAAGAGGCTGCATTATGGAAGCCAGAGCTCTATCTAGGGACAAAGATGCTATCAACTGTCACTGTCACTGTCACGGAAAAACCCTTCCTGTCATTTCCTCTTTTTCTGTCTGTCTCCGAGTCCCTTGATGGAATCAATGCTCCATGGACTCATTCCAGTCAGCTTCTCTCCCCCTGCAGTCAGGCTACTTCCTCGTGACTGGGTAAACATTACTGAGCACCTACTGTGCACCAGGCCTCGTGCTGGGGAGCCCTGGAGGAGGGAGACGGATCCTCTGTTCAGAGCTCACAGGTTCATAAACAGATAATTCCAAGAAAATCAGAAGTGTTTACCAGCCTCACAGGTCCTTGATTTTAATTAGAAAGAGACAAATGGCAAAAAAAAAAAAAAAAAAAAAATACTGCAGCTAAGCTGATGATGATAATTGTCATTACGAGAAGTTGACATTTATTGAATACTTATTACTGAAATCTTTCCGTGTATTAACTCATACAAATATCCAACAAGCTGGTGATCTAAGTGCTGTTAGAAGACTCACTCCAGAGACGGGGGAACTGAGGCCAGGGAACGACCCAGGTCTCAGAGTTGACTAAGGGGAGAGCCAGGATTTGGCTGGGTGACTGACCTCCCATCCCATCCTGCTCGGTGGGACCTGGCAAGCTCCATCATGCCAGCGTCTCCATACATCCAGCTCCTGCTTGAGCTACTCTCTCCATGTCCCTCAGACCCTCCAACTGCATGTCCCAAATGGAAGTTCTTATGAACACCCCTGGTCCCACCGTCCAAACCTGTCCCTGATCACCCACCACATTATCCACCCAGAACCCGTATCCATTCCACGGACTGTTGATTTTCCAAATCCATTTCCCAAATCCATCTCCTTCTCTCCACCGCCTGCCCTACCCTGGTCCTGAGTGCTGACCTCCACCTGTGGCTGGACCACTTCCATGCCTCCTGCAGCCCCCTGCTTTCATTCCCCATTCACACCCCCTCTCTTACCCAAGACCAGAGTGAGCGCCAGCATAAACAGGACCGGCATGCCCCACTTACCGCCTTCCAAGGCTGCCAGGGGACTGAGGATAAAATCCCGCCCCCCACCCAGGGCCCGCAGAGGCACCTTCATAACGTTTCCCATTCTGGCTTCACGGATTTGTTCTCCCACCAACAGAGGCGAGGACTCCTTTTTCTTCACCATCCTGCCCACACGCATCTTTCATCTTTTTTGTTAGCAGCCATTCTAACAGATGTGAGGTGCTCCCTCCCCTACTGGGGTGGCCATTTGCCTTTCCCTGATTAGCGATGTTGAACATTTTCAGACACATCGTGGCCATTTGCATGCTTTCTTTTGAGAAGTGTCTATTCAGATGTTTTGCTCATTTTTAAATTATTTGTTTTCTTGCTACTGAGTTGAGTTCCTTATGTTTTGGGGATACTAAGCTCTTATCAGGTGTATGGCTGGCAAATACTTTGTCCCGTTCTGTAGGTTTTCTCTTCCTTCTGTTGATTGTTTCCTTTGCTGTGCAGGAGCTTCTGATTTGATTCAATCCCCTTTGTCTATTTTTTTGCTTTTGTTGTCTATGCTTTGGGGAATGTATCCACATAATCACTTTCAAGACCCAAGTCATGGAGCAAAACTCTAAGTTTTTCTTCTGGCAGTTTTACA